CTCTCTCTCTCTCTCGGCCCACCATTCTCTCTCTCTCTCTCTCTCTCGCGCTCTCTCTCTCTCTCTCTCTCTCTCTCTCTATGGACTGCATCCAAATCCTGCCCCGGGCTGCAGCACCGTGCCACGAGTCTGACTTTAGTAGGCAAAAAAAACTCAATACTTCATCATCGTCATGGAAACAGAGTGAGGCTGAGAGACGTTGCATATAAAAAATTTAAAAAAAAAAGATGTAAAAGGGACAGTGGTTTTTCTTTTGTTGGGCAGGTGTTTTGATGTCATCTCGGGCCCGGTATGCAAAAGGTGTATTTAATTGCAGACCTCCTTCTGCGAGTCGCAACACTGTCAAATCAGAACGTACGGCAGTGACGTTGTTGTGGAACTTAATCTCAAGTTATAAAGATCTATAAATCCCAACGGTCATGAAAAAAGTGTTTCAGTACTTTTTTCTGAACGCTTTAAGAACCTGACGCCTACATTACCCACAATGCAGCTCAATCACCGACAGTTTAGTCTGAGATTTTGGGTGTGTTGTGCTAGTAGCTAATGTAGCAGCATGCTAGCCTCAAGCGGAGATGAGAAGCGAGCTAGAGGTCTGTTAGCTCACTTATTTCTAACTCCAAACCCACAGATTTGCACATGTGCAGTAGTACCCTTCTTTTAAATTTGGGAAAAATATACATTACACAACAGTGTGTTTATGTTCTCCAAATGTATCTAGTGAAATATACTGGATCACTTCTTTAGGCCTCTAACATATCCATCAAATGATACAACTCACAAAGGAAAAACAACCGTTAGGTTGAACTGTCCGGTTTATAGCTATAACTTGAGAGCATCTTTTAAAAGCTAAACCTTGTATACCTGCTGGGCAGCAGAGCACAAACAGCCAAGGGGTCAGAATGAATCCACCTCCATTCTGGTCTCCCCTACAGGGACTAAATCCCAGCTAAGTGAGTGAGTTTAGGGTTGAAGCGACGGGGCATGGAGATGAAGATGAGGTCAGAAAAGAAAAGATGGGAAAAACACATTTAAATGTCAGGATGTGGGAAGTGAACTTCTGGGAAGCGAGTGGGCTGAGCAGCGATGGATAATCCATTTTTAGGGTCCGTCACAGCCAGAGCCACAGCGGTATACCGTACAGCAGACTGTTAACAGACCACTCGCTTCACTTGACAATGAAGCCCTGTGTGTCCAGGCCTGAGAAAGTCATCAGTGCTTAGTCACGGCGGCGGCGGCCAGACCTTCATGGATCTCATAAATGTCAAACAGGAAGTGTGAGAGGAGTGCGTTGCCGCAGTACCAGTAGCTGATCCTGTCGTGGTTAATGCATTATTAAAAGGTGAGAAAGCAAATCGGTCTTTTGAGGAAAGCTCATGTGGCCAAAGCAGAAGGGATTGTGGGTAGTATGTCCCCTCTGTAACGCCAGTTTTCCCCTTGCCACCCAGGCCCTGGCGTCTTGCCCGTGGCATTCGCTTGGTTCTTCTCTTCTATGGGCATCAGGCTCTGGACCAGTGGCCACCCTGGCCCTCAGCCCTGATCCCAAAGCTGGTCACATGCTCCTGCACTTACCGCCACATACCCAGCATGCATCAGCAGCAAGCCATCTATGTCTTAACACTGACCCCTCAAGTGGCGGGCCTTCACAGGGGTAACGGAGACGTAGGCTGCACTGAAGCGTGGCGCTGGATTCATCAACAGAGTCCTGACGACGTCGTCATTATGTGTTGAAATGGAAAAAAAAAAAAAAAAAGAGGCTTGTTTCCGTTTTTGGACACAAGCTCTCCATCTCCTCTCCAAAACCAAAATATATGATGTCAGAAAAAAGTGTGAAAAATAGGACTTCTCATACATGTCGTGGTTGCATTTTCCTATTTGCGTCATTATGTTTTTAAATCTTTTTAAAATCCTTTTCATGCCCATTGAGTCAGTTTGTTTTTCTGTCTCTCCCTCAGCACGATGGACGGCCCTACTGCCACAAACCGTGCTATGCTGCCCTCTTTGGGCCAAAAGGTAAAGTACATGTAGACGTGTGGACTAAATATCACTTATTTATGAATAAATACACATTCAGAGGCCACTTTATCAGCTACATCGGTCCAATACAACAGCTCTTCCATGACATCTCCACAAACCTCCACAAATATTCAGCTTGACAGAAATGAGTTAATTCAGTTATGTTTATTTTTTAGGCCACAGTTAAAGGTGGTGTTGCATTATACTGCATAATATACTCAATAAAATCAATACGGCGCATAATTTAATACGTAAAGAAATACATTACCAACATTTATTCATTTATTCCTTTAATTCTGAATGGAATATCGACTTATTCAATCATTTAAGCTTGTATCTGTTAATTAATACATTTATTTCTGTATGCATCTATTGATTGAGTCATTTTTAAGTCTTCCAAAGAGTTGTAGATTTCAGACTATTTTCACACATTGCTTTAGTTTTAGTATTTCTAAATTTGAATGCCATATGTCAAATGAACTTATTTATTTTGATACTGATATTGTTTCTTCTACAGGCGTGAACATCGGTGGCGCCGGCTCTTATGTGTACGACACTCCCGCCAACAACAACCCGTCTGCCACCAGTGTGGATTCAGGCCCCAAAGCTGAGGAGAAGCGAGTGTTCGCCTCAAAGGCAGCGTCGAAAGGTAGACGAGGAAGGATGTGTGTTCCCACTCTGTCCGTACTGGGAGCTGTGGCTCCATCAGCAAGTGTTAAATGGAAGAAGCTCGTCGATAGGGTCGTGGTTTTGGTGCTTTAGGTCGGAAGGAAAGCTGCTGCTGACTCAATGATAAGAACGCCGACACACAGTCTTTTGGGACTTGAGGAGGATTTTCTCAGACGTGTTCGATCGTGTGTGTGTGTGTGTGTGTGTGTGTGTGTGTGTGTGTGTGTGTGTG